GAGCATGATTACACTGACACATAGCCACAGCTAAATGCAGACACATATACTACCATTTGATCTTCACACACAGAGTCAAATCTACATCTGTCTGATACTGCCTCATATAATGTTAAGTCTATACATCTAGACTGTATTATAATTGTGAATTTCATCCCATTATTGTTTGTTTTGGTTTCTTTGGGTTTACCTAATCACTTAGCTATCATTTCACCAAGTTTCAAATGTAAATTACTATTTCTCACTTTAGCCTAAGTACAAACATTTTCATTGATATATCATGTAACTAATTTGATTTCTGCTTCTTTGTATGTTGTCCATTTCAGTTGAAACAATGATTGTTTTTGGACATTTGAATTTCTGTATTTGGTTACACTGAATATTTTGCTGATACTCTTACTGATGAAGGGGGTGTTGAAATCAATAATTGTTGATTCTGTTATAATGCAATTTATTTTAATGTTTCCAAAAACAGTATAAGAGCTTTTCAGATCATCTTTTGTTCTCACCTTGACCATCTTTTTAAGTACACCATTTAAGGGCTTTTGGTTTTTAGTCACATGGCCAAGGAAGGGATAAAAGAAGATTGCAACTGTTGCTATGGCTCTTTTCTTTGCTGTCTCTTTCTTTGCTGGCAATCTCTCTTTCTTCGCTGGAGGGCTCTGCTCTCTCTCCCTCTTTCTTTCTTTCTTTCTTTCTTTCTCTCAGGTAACATTTTACATACATGCTGGGTACAATTAACTGTTTATGTTTTATCATCCTTCATCTATTTTGTAACTCAAGCGTAACCATAAAGAAATATGTTATTAAACCATTTCAATTATAAAATATGTGCTAACAATTCTTTATTCACCAGTAACTTTGAAGTACTACCTATTGAAATACAATATAGTCACTCAATAGCAACGCTCTCCCACATATTTAGCTATTCTAACTGTGCTTATTTCCGTCATTGGTATTGTGGTAAGTGGTATTGTGGTAAGTGGCAGTGGGTGGTAATAGACAAGAAATGTACAGTTTTATGCCGTCGTGCTGATAACATTTCTTTAGTCATTTGGCAGTCCTACAGCCTGAACCACTGTAGAGAAACCACCCTTACAGAATCTATAAAGACAGCCTTCGTGCTTTCAATGTGGAACTAGGCAAAGCTAGACAGTCATTCTTCTCAAACCTTATAAACAGTAACTTAAACAACACTCGCACTCTTTTTGCTACTGTTAAAATCTGAGCATATCACACCAGTCCTCAGGTCCTTACACTGGCTTCCAGTTACATTTAGGATTGTTTATAAATCACTCAATGGTCTAGGACCTAAATACATAGCAGATATGCTCACTGAATATAAACCTAACAGACCACTCATTAGGATCGAGTCAGTTAGAAATACCAAGGGTTCAACACAAAACAAGGGGAATCTGCTTTTAGTTATTATGCCGCCCGCAGCTGGAATCAGCTTCCAGAAGAGATCAGATGTGCTAAAACATTAGTCACATTTAAATCCAGACTCAAATCTCATCTGTTTAGCTGTGCATTTATTGAATGAGCACTGTGCGATGTCCGAACTGATTGCACTTATATTATATATGCACTTGAATTACCATTGTGTATGAAATGTTCTATATAAATAAACTTGCCTTGCCTTGCCTTACAAGGACAGCCACATCTACATTACAGACAGCACACTGCCAGACGCTTTAAATAATTTCTTTAATCGTTTTGACCATTGGAGTGAAGTGACAAGCACTCACACTGCACTACCAGAGGAAGGTAAACCTATACAACTGCACCAACACCAATTCAGATCCACTCTATGCAAACAGATCGACAGAAGATGCAGTCATCACAGCTCTCCACAGCTCTTACCCAGCTGGACCAGGGAAACCCCTATGTAAGAATGTTGTTTGTGGATTTCAGCTCAACTTTTAATACAGTCGTTCCCTGCAAACGGGTTCAAAAACTGTACAACCTGGGTCTGATCAGCTCACTGTGCACATGGATACTGGACTTCCTTAGCAATAGACCCCAGAACGTCAGGATGGGAGATCACACATCATCCACTCTCATCCTGAACACTGGTACACCACAGGGGTGTGTTCTCAGTCCCCTCCACTTCTCCCTCTTCACCAGCGACTGTTCCTCCTTCATCCTACCAACACCATTATCAAGTTTGCGGATGATACCACCATAGTGGGACTGATAACGGACAACAGTGAGACAGCCTTCAGCGAGGAAATCCAGCATTTCACAGACTGGTGTTCTCACAAAAACCTGGAATACATCTCTGAGTGTAACCGGTGTTAACTAGTAGGTGTGTTCGACTTGACGCGGACCGACTGTGCAGTGCAAACCGATCTGTGTATTACAGTACCACGAGAGCTAAGAGAGCAGACTGCTCTGTACGCTTTCGAATCGCTCTCGCGGATGTCAAACACTGATCGATCTGCGCCG